CATGCTTATCTCCCTGAGCCTGGCCTTCATAAGTCCATTCCATCACACAATCTGACTTCAGCTTTCCTTTGCTTTACAGACCTGTGAAGGTCGTCAATGCAAGGGCAGGTTGCAAAGTTACTTTTTCATCACTGTCATAACTGCGGTCACTAAAAGAGGTAGTCACTAAACAAGGATGATGTGTAATGACATTCTGTGGCTCTTACAACTATTTAATCCTTCAGCACCCCCCCTTCAACCACCAACCTTTTCAGGTAGTCCTCACTTAATGACGACAATAGGGACTCGAAAAATGGTTGTTAAGCAGGGCAGTCATTAAGCAAGTCGCCATGTGACCGGTCGTAAAACACTTTTTCTGAGGCTATTGTAACTTCAAACTATCATTAAATGAATGGTCGTTAAGCAAGGACTACCTGTATTTTCTGAAAAATATCAATTCTATTCCTGCAACCTGAGGAGTTTTCATGGCTTTGATGTTATCTCCCACTTCTGGCAGTTTGATAGGCTACATGGAGGTTCAAACTGCTAATTGTAGATAGCAATGACAAGCTGGGATGTCTGAAGGTATGGGGGGGTTGTCAAAGAAGATGGTGCTGCAACCATGCCATCAAAGCCCCACTCTTTTTGCATGCATTCCCGAAACGTACTTGTAAGGAAAAATCACCAGGCGAGTGAACAGGAATGCTGCTGAGAACATGATAAAGAGTGTATCGCTAGTCTTCTGCCACTTCGGATAGTTAAACATCTTCGCAAACTGGGGAAAAAAAGAAAGGAGGAAGCAGAAATTGTTGAGTGGCTGAGGTTCCTATTGTGAAAGCACTTGACTTTCAGGATTCAGGGTTCAATTTTTTCTATGTTTAAACTGCAGTGCTTATCTTCTCTCTCCCAGAAAGGATGCTGGGAATTGTAGTTTGGAGAACATGTAAATCCTGAAGAGAAACATGCCCATAGGTTAGCTTACAAGCAAAGCCTGATGGGAATATCTTAGTCTCCAGCAACTGAGGGTTAGCTCAAACCTGTTCCAAACCTCCGGTGTTGAATGCAGAATGCAAAACCAGGGTTTCAAACCCAAAACTGGGCATCTAAAATTTAAACAATTTCAGCTCCAAATGCTTTGCATGCTGATGCTATCTCTGAATTGTTTAGGCGTGTGTTTCTCTTCCTTCAAACAAGCCTTTCAAATTGGGACTACGGCACCCATAATTTAGCCAGTCCCAACACACCTGGAGAGCTGCAGGAAAGAGAAGGCTGGTATAAATTCCTTTCTAGATTTATTTCCTCTTTCCAAAGGAAAATGAAGTAGTATTTTTCAAAAAGAGAGGAAGGAGAAGAATGTGTTCTTCCTTCTTGGGGAAGAGTGTCCCTGAGCATTAACTTACTTGTAGGAGACAATCCGAAATATCGTGTAGAATCATGACAAGCGAACCAATACGGATGTAATTGGCACAGTATGAGAAGCTGATGAGGAAGAGGGTGGCTGCGTGGTGGACAATTTGCTCACGAAAGTCCTGCAGTGAGAGGATTGAACTGATGGATTTTGCGGCTGCTCCGTGGGGGCCAGACACCCCCATTATGGGGAAGGGGTTTAGCGTGGAATGTTTTGCATCTGCAGATACACCAAACTAATGTCCCCGTTTTTCACTTTTTCTCTCTGTTTGATTGATTCTGCAGTTTTAAAATTAACCGCCCAGAGTCGCCTTGGTGAGATGGGCAGTCACATAAGTTGACTGAAAGACACAAATACTTTTTGTGGGCCAAAAGGAGGAACCGTGTTCCCTCTTGGATTGAATGGGGCTTCCTGACCAGCCGGACCAATCTCTTCCACCAGAGACCACTCACCATCCGTTTGACTTCAAAAGGCAGCATGATGACCAAGGAGCAGTAGAAGGAGAACTGCATGAGGTAGTAGCCACAAATGCTGGGCTGGAGAGGCTGCAATGCACAAGGGGACGTGGTTGAGAGTTGACCCAACTGAGTTGACCCAACTGAGAGTTGGGAAGAAAGAGAAACGCGGTTATGCCATCCTAACTCTCATTTTCCAAAGCAAAGATAAAGCAGGGCTGACTGGAGAATTCTGGGAGTTGAAGTCCACACATCTTAAAGTTGCTAAGTTTCAAAAACATTGGATCGTGCACTGAACAGGAGCTGGACTAGACAAACTCTAAGGTCTTTCCAACTCTATGATCCTATGATTTCAACCAGTAGTTTTTAACACTTCTTTGAGTATAAGCCACAGGATGCAAACATTTCCTGTAGGATCTTCTTAAGACCTTTTCTAATCTTGCTTTTGGAATTTTTTGTGAATACTCTGCCCCTTCCCACCTCTCAAATTACAATTTTTATTATTTATTTTTATTTATTACTAAGTTTCTCACCCACCCATCTCCCCCCGAGGTCCAGGGATTCCAGAGCTAGAAGGGAATGCAAAGGTCATCTAGTCCAGCTGACTGGGGTGCAAGACATCCACTGCTCCAACACCCCTCACTTCCACCTTCTGAAGCAGTCAAGAATTTTTCCAATGTTTAGCGTTTCTTGTACTTGAGCCCCTTGGTCCAGATTCTGATCTCTGATCCAATATGCCTTTTCTCTTCCCTGAATGTGATTGTTAGGTAAATATTGAAATAAAGATTTCCTCAACTCCTGGTGATGTCATGGGGTCTACATTCAACAACCACAAGCTCTTCTAAGCAGTTGTCTGAGCATTTGAAAATGAGGCTAATTCACTTACAAAGCCAGGGAAGGATGGGATGGATGGATGGATGGATGGATGGATGGATGGATGGATGGATGGAGATGGATAGTTAGAGATGAAAGATAGATGATTGATTGATGAGAGAGAGTGAGCAATTTCAGTTATGAGAAACATTGTTCAGAAATGGAAGTTACATGGACTTGATGAAATCAAGGCAACACCTGAAACAGCAAGAAAATCTCTGCTAAAACTGGCTCCAAACTGGTCAGATGTGGAAATACAGCCCATGGATGACCGCAAATGACCAGTTGAAAACTTAGCTGACACTGAAAAGGTTATCTGCCGGTCCACAGCACAGCACTGCTCATACAACTGCGCAAAAGGAAAGCCTTTCTCCAACCTCATTGCAAAGCCATGGTCTCACATATGCCTGAAACTTTCTGAACCATTCAAGGAAAACAGAAGCTCTTGCTGGCCACCAAGCACAGGGTTGGTCTATTAGGTGCCAAGGTTGCATGCAGCCCATGGCGCAGGGAACACTGTGTGGCTGGAAAGAAGA